AACACCACAGAAAAACGCAGGCAAAAGACGAGAATTTATCGATAAGCAAATGCGACGGCATTCTTTTGCAACAAGCAGTGTGAAAATGTTCGTCCTTTCCAGAGGTCTGTCTGACCTTGGCAAAGATCGAGGTCACTTGATTGAAAAAGCGCTGTAAATATTCATGAAACGATACCAAAGACTCGCTATCGTATGCCAAAGAACATCCTCGATAATCCAGGGGCAACGCTCACTTACGCTGTCTGCACCTCTTGAATCACAGGGACTTTACACGTTCCTATGACCAAGAATAAATGGGGTGTTTTTTCCATTCTGGGTCATAGAAACGTGACAATGGTCAATAATAAGTGATCTGGGGCATCTTTTCCCATTCTGTGTCATAGGAACGTGTTCAGTCCCTATGCCATGAATATGTCATAGCAAATTGAAGGCTCAGCGTGCGTCACCTTGTTGATGAGTCAAGAAAACTAGTTGGATCCTTTGATGTTCATCTAAGGAATCTTGCGGTCGCGTAACACTACAAATTGACTGGCAATTTTGCTATGACATATTCCAGGGGTGCAGAGAGCAAACGTAACACAACATCGCAGAAGGAATCTATTTCATTTTACTGCAATGAAGTTTTATTTTATAGACAATAAATAAAAGTTATTACTAAATCGTATTGTTCATGTATTTCTAGTGTCCAGTCTTAACTTTTCTAGTTTATATATTTAAATGATGATTGAAAAACTTGATAGAAAATTGTATGTTTATACTGGTAACTAGAAACAATAAATGCCTTCGGACACTTCAGAAATTCAATATTTCTGTTTCTCCATAAAACCAGGATGAAACTCTTCTCCGTTCAAACCACTCAAGATGTTATCGTCTGAGGTCTGTGGTGTTACCAATGCTTCTAATAGGTATAGATATATATATCGGTGATTAGCTAAACCAAACGTACCTTACAGTCACCAAAAAACATCACACATTAGGACAGTCTCCAAATTTCAGGGGTAGCGCTCAATTAAGTTCTCTTCAACCTTGGAGTGTCATGACAAAATTGAAGGCACAAAGTTTGCTATTTGATTAGTTCCAGGTAATAAAACAAGAGGCCCAGGGGTCCTATAAGCTATTTTAAAATTAAACTCTGTTAAGTTCAATGTACTTTGCCAGTTTATCAAATGAGTACAATAGAACAAGCCTCAAGGACTAAATCCTTCTGGGTGGGAAAGACACCAAGGTCATGTGTGTTTTCTTCATGCCCAGTAATTTTGTGTATGGTTATTGGGTGAGGTGGGGTGGGTGGTAATCTCAACTGTTCCCATGTTAAGACCCAGAAAGTAAGTCCCTGGGGTTAGGTCTGGACCTCCAGGCCAACCCTTGTAGCATAGATGTCTCTTTGCCTAGCAATAGTATCATTGTATTTGGTTATAGGGTTGGGATAAAAGGTCAAGGACAAACTATACTTACTGTAATCTATTTGAATATTAACAAATAAGTGTAAAGTTATATAAAGTTTTATTTTGAAAAACATGGATCAACAATTAACAGTGTAAAAATTCATCATAACCATTCTAAATAAAGATAAATAAGTATGCATTTACCTGAAACAAACCTTGCATAATATAATGATAATTCAAAAGTACTTTTGACATAATAATACTGACTTTAATATGAGTGAACTATGTGATAATGGGTGTTCTTTGAATCGACAAAAACCATAGATTCCTAGCAAGTGAAGCAATATATGAAATAGTAACATAATAATGGCGCTAATGCATGTAGCAAAAACAAGAAAATCATGACCTCATCAACAATTTGGTCTCATTAATAATTTGGTTTATACATGTCCTTTGGTACGTAATTTTATGAACTTTCATTACTGGACAAAAAATGCTGAATTCGCAACAACTCAGGCATCCGCAGATGTTGATTTTTAATTACAAGAAATGGTGAAAACCATTTTTGCAACATGCATATGTTTTTGAATTATCTTCTGAAATGCTCTGAACAAGTGACTAGAGTTAAAACGTATATAATTTAACCTTCGCATGGCCAGTTAGGAAAACATGCGAATATGATCTAAAGCTGCTTCATTTGTGAGGTAGTTTTCATCTAAGTATTGGTAATTAAGACAAACAAAAAATCACTTGAACTTTTGACCTTGTTACCATGACATAAGGTATGCCTGAAACTATCTCCTGACACATGATGCTACACATGTTTCTATAGTCTTTTGTTAAAAAGTGAAACTTTTGAGGAAAGTATGCTCCTGATGCAGGACATCATTTTGACCGTTAAAAAAATACTGTCAAGACTTGTAGGGCTGCTCTGGTGTAAGATGTCGCAATGACAGCAGCAGAGAACATCAGGGCTACATTTCTGGTTGAAACGGTACGTGTGGCGCAGAAATTTTCCACGATAAACAAACGCACTTGGACTGTTCTATAAGCAGAGCTAAAAATGCACAGTTTCAGAGAATAAAAAACAATGTATGAAGAATAATATTCCCTTCTTTCATCCGTTCACTTCATTACATAACGTATCTTAAAAACTACATGTGACTTGACATTGTTTAAGAAATAATGCAAATTGGCAATAGTCAGCATTTTAGTTTCGGTCAGGTACGTCTGGACCCCTCAATCTACACGTACCAAATTTTCCGGAGGTCAGCCTCGGTCCAGATCTGTAACTGTTGTTTTCTTTACAGGTTCTCTGGTTCAACCGTTTCAACCGGATATGCGAATGTACGCTAAGAAGATGATAAGCATGTAACGACACAGATTTATTGGTGTGCCAAAGAACCACACAGATTGATGGGAGTGCTAAAGAACCACACAGATTGATCGGAGTGCTAAAGAACCACACAGATTGATTGGAGTGCTAACGAACCACATCAACTGATTGGAGTGCTAAAGAACCACATAAACTGATTGAAGTGCTAAAGAGCCACACAAACTGATTGGAGTGCTAAAGAACCACACAGATTGATTGGGAGTGCTAAAAAACCACATAAACTGATTGCAGTGCTAAAGAACCACTCAGATTGATTGGAGTGCTAAAGAACCACACGGATTGATTGGAGTGCTAAAGAACCACATAAACTGATTGGAGTGCTAAAGGACCACATAAACTGATTGGAGTGCTAAAGAACGACATAAACTGATTGAAGTGCTAAAGAGCCACACAAACTGATTGGAGTGCTAAAGAACTACACAGATTGATGGGATTGCTAAAGAACCACACAGATTGATGGGAGTGCTAAAGAACAACAAAGATTGATCGGAGTGATAAAGAACCACAAAGATAGATCGGAGTGCTAAAGAACCACAAAGATTGATCGGAGTGATAAAGGACTACACAAACTGATTGGAGTGCTAAATAACCACACAGATTGATGGGAGTGATAAAGAACCACAAAGATTCATCGGAGTGCTAAAGAACCACAAAGATTGATTGGAGTGCTAAAGAACCACCCAGATTGATTGGGAGTGCTAAAAAACCACATAAACTGATTGCAGTGCTAAAGAACCACTCAGATTGATTGGAGTGCTAAAGAACCACACGGATTGATGGGAGTGCTAAAGAACCACAAAGACTGATCGGAGTGCTAAAGAACCACACAGATTGATGGGAGTGCTAAAGAACAACTCAGATGGATCGGAGTGCTAAAGAACCACAAAGATTGATGGGAGTGCTAAAGAACCACCCAAACTGATCGGAGTTCTAAAGAACCACACAGATTGATCGGAGTGCATAAGAACCACACAAACTGACTGGAGGGCATAAGAACCACACAGATTGATCGGAGTGCTAAAGAACCACAAAGCTTGATTGGAGTGCTAAAGAACCACACAGATTGATTGGGAGTGCTAGAAAACCACATAAACTGATTGCAGTGCTAAAGAACCACTCAGATTGATTGGAGTGCTAAAGAACCACACGGATTGATGGGAGTGCTAAAGAACCACAAAGATTGATCGGAGAGATAAAGAACCACAAAAACTGATCGGAGTGCTAAAGAACCACACAGATTGATCGGAGTGCATAAGAACCACACAAACTGACTGGAGGGCATAAGAACCACACAGATTGATCGGAGTGCTAAAGAACCACAAAGACTGATCGGAGTGCTAAAGAACCACACAGATTGATCGGAGTGCTAAAGAACCACAAAGATTGATCGGAGTGATAAAGGACTACACAAACTGATTGGAGTGCTAAATAACCACACAGATTGATGGGAGTGCTAAAGAACCACAAAGATTCATCGGAGTGCTAAAGAACCACAAAGATTCATCGGAGTGCTAAAGAACCATAAAGATGGATCGAGTGCTAAAGAACCACAAAGATTGTTCGGAGTGCTAAAGAACCACAAAGATTGATCGGAGTGCTAAAGAACCACCCAAACTGATCGGAGTGCTAAAGAACCACACAGATTGATCGGAGTGCTAAAGAACCACACAAACTGATCGGAGTACTAAAGAACCACAAAGATTGATTGGAGTGATAAAGAACCACAAAGATTGATCAGAGTGCTAAAGAACCACAAAGATTGATCGGAGTGCTAAAGAACCACCCAAACTGATTGGAGTGCTAAAGAAATTTTCCAGAATGAAAAGTAAGGACAAGGCACCAAGTTGCAGCTACTCATTATGTCACTGACTGAAGAGTTCAAGGTGATCAAGGACAGGCAAGTACCCTTACTCAAGAACAGATTGTATAATATATCCATGTTTGTCTGTCCCTGTACAATTTCACATTCCCTATGTTAGCTTAATCCTGAATTCAATATCTTTTGGTACCAATGGCTATCTCCCTTACATTATATTTCTCGGGTTTCCTATGTTTTTTCTTACTTGTAAAAGATTTTTTTTATGAGCTGTATAACAACATAAAAAGACAACTCACAGAGTTGAATGGATATGAATAAAAAAAAACACCATTGCATAAAATAACTAAAAATGCAATCTTAATCAAACAAAATATTATGCATATTTGGAATGCTATCTACATAAAAAAATATCACAGTACACAAAACAAATTAAGAAAAAATTAGTGATAATTAAGAAATATCTCATAACACTTGAACATACATCACGCAACCCATAAAGGATAAGATAAATTAACTTAATCATGTGATGATAAGTCTGAGGACGTGAAACACAAATATTAGTTTGTATTACCAGGTTTTCATGGGAGAAGTACCTAGTATGGTGATGAAATGTAAATTTCTACTTCTTTTGCATATTGAAATATTTTTACCTTTCAGATATATTAATACTGATATTATCATATACAATACTGTATTTCATCGTCATGTGCTCAGAATAAATTTGTATTTTGTTTTTAAATTGCCTATTCGTGAATTTGAATACAATGATATTAAATGTACTTTAGACTTTCAGTCTGTGACAGTCATATGACACGAGTATACAGATCCATTCTGTGAGTCAGCCTGTATAGATTGATAGCTGATAGTGGACTGAGCACCATCTGGTAACGGCTGGTAATTATCCCTGTCTGCTGACAGCTCCATATCCCTGCAAAAATATATTTCTCAAATAAATCATTTATTTAGGATCAACTGCAGACAACACCTTCTCAACATGCTTTTTGCTGCAAATGATAATGTTGTAGCTGATAAGTAGTTATTTCTTACATAATGATATTATTACTCACAATCATCATCTTAGAATGATATTTCTGTAGTTTTTATAGTCCGGTCTTATTAGTTTTAAACTCTAAGCCGACCAGGGCAAAATTCCCAAAAGAATTTTTAAGTTCTCAAGCTACATACATGTATATTGAAACAAAATGAATTGAAAAGTTAACTTAAGGATCTAGGAGTAGGGGAAATACATCAGCTATCTCCCTAATATGGATACTTTAAAACACCCTTTTAATGCATATACCACAGGTTTCATCTATGCAGTAGTAAAGTGAACATAACATAATGCTACTACCGTATCTATGTAGTAGTTCTTATTCAGTCATTGATTCCAATCTAAACTAGAACACTGACAGGTCAGTAAGGGCCCTGTCTTGTGGCAATATACCCCCCCCACCCCCCACCCCCCACCCTAATCATCAAGAAGCAATCTGCCCATATAGCTGAGCTTGACGTTTGACATTTGGACTTCAAAAAGAATCGCAAGGAAGCAAAGTATACATTTTACATTTACTATGATGTGATTCTTGTTTCCTTCCACCTCCATATTTGTTGGGCTAACAGAAATGTAAATTCCAGTGCAATACTCATTTGTTAGCTTTGATTTGTTGTATTTCACCTTAAATAGCTACCCCATCAAGAGCCAGGGTCAAAGTCAGAGATTCACTTTGTCTTTGACCTTTGGACCGAAATGATCTTGACCTTTAACCCAGTGACCCTGATCTTTGGTAGAGGTGTCATGATTCACCGCGATGCACTTGTACCGCGATTATTTATGTTCGATTCGATTCAGGATATATTTTCCCGGATTTTCAATGCGTCGCAATCTGAATATTAGTGTATGCTGCTTCAGGCGAAACGTCTGTAAGACGTTCAATTTCATTGGCTGATCTCTAAACCCTCAACCAATCGGCTGCGAGGATGCAATTTTCACAAAGTATTCACAACAAAATGGCGGACCACCGTAAGGAAATGAAAATTTGTGATGCTCCGACAAGCTTCAAATCAAAAGTGTGGAAACACTGCGGGTTTCCGTGTACCGACGGCTTATATATCTCATTTTGTTTATATTTTAAAATAAAGGTGTATCGAATCGAAATAATAGAATCGTGGAACAAATATTGAGACCCAGTGACCTTGACCTTTGGTCAAATGACTCCCTTGTTTAATTCCGACCAACATCGCTTCAGAGTGTCATAACACAATGTACACCAGTGAAAAGATACAAAATTTGACCTTGACCTTTGACTCAGTAACCTTGACCTTAAGTCAGTTGACTCTTTGTTAAAATCCGACCAAATTTGCTTCATAATGTCTTAACAAAATGTTCATCAGGGAAAAAGGTACAAAGTTTGACCTTAACCTTTGAACCAGTGACCTTGACCTTTGGTCAATTGACTACTTGTTTAATTCCGACTAAAATTGCTTCAAACTGTCATAACGAAATGTTCACCAGTGAAAATATACTAATTTGACCTTGACCTTTTACCCAGTGACCTTAACCTTTGGTCAGTTGACTCTTTGTTTAATTCCAACCAACTTTACTTCATTATGTCATAAAATGCTCATTTGGGAAAGCTACAAAATTTGACCTTGACCTTTGACCCAGTGACCTTGAAATTTGGTCAGTTGATTCCTTAATTGTTTAATTCTGATCAACTTTGCTTCATCATGTCGTAACAAAATGTTCAACAGTGAAAAGATGCAAAAAATTATCTTGACCTTTGAACCTTATGACCTTGACCTTTGACCTTGACTTTTTACCTCAGTGTGTATTTTAGTGAACTGAACATCTTGACCAAGTTTCATGTAAATCAGTCATTAAATATTAGTTATTAGCCAGGAACAAAATTTGCAGTCAGAAGAACTCAGATCCTTATACCACGAGGCTAGGTTAAAATAGCAGACAACAGAACTCAGATCCTAATACCACAAGGCTAGGTTAAAATAGCAGTCAACAGACCTTACATCCTTATACCACAAGGCTAGGTTAAAATAGCTGACAGCAGACCTTACATCCTTATACCACAAGGCTAGGTTAAAATAGCAGACAACAGAACTTAGATCCTAATACCACAAGGCTAGGTTAAAATAGCAGACAACAGAACTTAGATCCTAATACCACAAGGCTAGGTTAAAATAGCAGACAACAGAACTTAGATCCTAATACCACAAGGCTAGGTTAAAATAGCAGACAACAGAACTTAGATCCTAATACCACAAGGCTAGGTTAAAATAGCAGACAACAGAACTTAGATCCTAATACCACAAGGCTAGGTTAAAATAGCAGACAACAGACCTTAGATCCTAATACCACAAGGCTAGGTTAAAATAGCAGACAACAGAACTTAGATCCTAATACCACAAGGCTAGGTTAAAATAGCAGACAACAGAACTTAGATCCTAATACCACAAGGCTAGGTTAAAATAGCAGACAACAGAACTTAGATCCTAATACCACAAGGCTAGGTTAAAATAGCAGACAACAGAACTTAGATCCTAATACCACAAGGCTAGGTTAAAATAGCAGACAACAGAACTTAGATCCTAATACCACAAGGCTAGGTTAAAATAGCAGACAACAGAACTTAGATCCTAATACCACAAGGCTAGGTTAAAATAGCAGACAACAGAACTTAGATCCTAATACCACAAGGCTAGGTTAAAATAGCAGACAACAGAACTTAGATCCTAATACCACAAGGCTAGGTTAAAATAGCAGACAACAGAACTTAGATCCTAATACCACAAGGCTAGGTTAAAATAGCAGACAACAGAACTTAGATCCTAATACCACAAGGCTAGGTTAAAATAGCAGACAACAGAACTTAGATCCTAATACCACAAGGCTAGGTTAAAATAGCAGACAACAGAACTTAGATCCTAATACCACAAGGCTAGGTTAAAATAGCAGACAACAGAACTTAGATCCTAATACCACAAGGCTAGGTTAAAATAGCAGACAACAGAACTTAGATCCTAATACCACAAGGCTAGGTTAAAATAGCAGACAACAGAACTTAGATCCTAATACCACAAGGCTAGGTTAAAATAGCAGACAACAGAACTTAGATCCTAATACCACAAGGCTAGGTTAAAATAGCAGACAACAGAACTTAGATCCTAATACCACAAGGCTAGGTTAAAATAGCAGACAACAGAACTTAGATCCTAATACCACAAGGCTAGGTTAAAATAGCAGACAACAGAACTTAGATCCTAATACCACAAGGCTAGGTTAAAATAGCAGACAACAGAACTTAGATCCTAATACCACAAGGCTAGGTTAAAATAGCAGACAACAGAACTTAGATCCTAATACCACAAGGCTAGGTTAAAATAGCAGACAACAGAACTCAGATCCTAATACCACAAGGCTAGGTTAAAATAGCAGACAACAGACCCTTACATCCTTATACCACGAGGCTAGGTTAAAATAGCAGTCAACAGACCTTGGATCCTAATACCACGAGGCTAGGTTAAAATAACAGACAACAGAACTCAGATCTTAATACCACAAGGCTAGGTTAAAATAGCAGACAACAGAACTCAGATCCTAATACCACAAGGCTAGGTTAAAATAACAGACAACCGAACTCAGATCTTAATACCACAAGGCTAGGTTAAAATAGCAGACGACAGAACTTGGATCCTAATACCACAAGGCTAGGCTAAAATAGCAGACAACAGAACTTGGATCCTAATACCACAAGGCTAGGTTAAAAAAGCTGACAACAGACCTTACATCCTTATCCCACAAGGCTAGGTTAAAATAGCAGTCAACAGGCCTTACATCCTTATACCACAAGGCTAGGTTAAAATAGCTGACAACAGACCTTACATCCTTATACCACAAGGCTAGGTTAAAATAGCAGACGACAGAACTTGGATCCTAATACCACAAGGCTAGGCTAAAATAGCAGACAACAGAACTTGGATCCTAATACCACAAGGCTAGGCTAAAATAGCAGACAACAGAACTTGGATCCTAATACCACAAGGCTAGGCTAAAATAGCAGACAACAGAACTTGGATCCTAATACCACAAGGCTAGGTTAAAATAACAGACAACAGAACTCAAATCTTAATACAACAAGGCTAGGTTAAAATAGCAGACGACAGAACTTGGATCCTAATACCACAAGGCTAGGCTAAAATAGCAGACAACAGAACTTGGATCCTAATACCACAAGGCTAGGCTAAAATAGCAGACAACAGAACTTGGATCCTAATACCACAAGGCTAGGTTAAAAAAGCTGACAACAGACCTTACATCCTTATCCCACAAGGCTAGGTTAAAATAGCAGACAATAGAACTTAGATCCTAATACCACAAGGCTAGATTAAAATAGCTGACAACAGACCTTAGATCCTAATACCAAAAGGCTAGGTTCAAATAGCAGTCAACAGACCTTACATCCTTATACCACAAGGCTAGGTTAAAATAGCAGTCAACAGGCCTTACATCCTTATACCACAAGGCTAGGTTAAAATAGCAGTCAACAGCCCTTACATCCTTATACCACGAGGCTTGGTTAAAATAGCAGTCAACAGACCTTGGATCTTAATACCACAAGACTAGGTTAAAATAGCAGACAACAGAACTTACATCCTTATACCACAAGGCTAGGTTAAAATAGCTGACAACAGACCTTACATCCTAGTACCACAAGGCTAGGTTAAAATAGCAGTCAACAGGCCTTACATCCTTATACCACAAGGCTAGGTTAAAATAGCTGACAACAGACCTTAGATCCTAATACCACGAGGCTAGGTTTAAATAACAGACAACAGAACTCAGATCTTAATACCACAAGGCTAGGTTAAAATAACAGACAACAGAACTCAGATCTTAATACCACAAGGCTAGGTTAAAATAACAGACAACAGACCTTACATCCTAATACCACGAGGCTAGGTTAAGATAGCAGACAACAGAACTCAGATCCTTATACCACAAGGCTAGGTTAAAATAGCTGACAACAGACCTTACATCCTTATCCCACAAGGCTAGGTTAAAATAGCAGTCAACAGACCTTAGATCCTAATACCACAAGGCTAGGTTAAAATAGCAGAACTTAGATATATTGATTTCAGATGATTCTGTGAATCCTACACAGGAGGCAAAACTTTGAATAAATATTCCAAATCAAACATGTGCTTATTATACCGTTACTTACCAATACAATGTACAAAGCATCCTTTCCTGGATAAAATTTAGAGGAATATTTACACCAGCTGGCAAAATGTTCTTCATCAGAAATACTTTCTATATTGCAGTTAACCTTTACTAAATGTGTGAAAGCCTGATGGTGCCATTGAATTCTGTAACAGCTACTGGTGACTGAAATTCAATCTTTCTTAATTTGCTACTTTTCCCTGTTCAGATTCCTTTAGATATGTTGTTTCTGTCATCATGGCTACTCTAGTGATATGAATGTGAAAACTAGAAAATGTCTGTAAGACATAAATGCCCCCACTGCCATGTGAAATTAGATTCAGTGTTCGATAAGAAGTTACAACCACTTTGATCTTGATACCCTGAAACATGCACACACCCAAGGTACTACACTTAAAGTTGATTTTAATATTCATATGTTTTTTTCTGTATGATATTACCATCTCCATAACATATTGAATGAAGTTGCTAAGTGTTTAAATTGAATCAGTAGATGATTTTCTATATATAGCAACAGTGACCTTGGCCTTGACCTTGGAACCCTGAAACACAACAATGTCCGAAGTATACTCATACTTGACCTTTGCATAAAGTTTGACCAAAATCTATGAAAGAATGAAGTTGCTAGGGGTTTAAACTGAATCAGTTGATGATTTTCTATATATAGCAAGTGTGATCTTGGCCTTGACCTTGGATCCCTGAAATACAATGATGTCCGAAGTATACTCATACTTGACCTTTGTATAAAGTTTGACCAAAATCTGTCAAAGAATGAAGTTGCTAAGTGTTTACATTGAATTGGGACGGGACGGACATGGGTAACACTATATGCCCCCCCGTTTTATGGCGGGGGCATAATAACTTCTGTTGCAACTTTGTCATGGTTACTGAAGTAAATCCAACTTGACTGAACTATTGATGCTACAAAATCACAGCGGACATTTAAGTTTTTGATATACTGACCCCTTGTTGTAAACATAGATAGCGGGCAGTATGATGATCACAGACACTATGCTCAGCCAAGTAGACAGATGACCTTCAGGATTCCACTGAAAAGGATGTTCCTGGAACAATGTCCAAAATAGCAGTACCACTGGTGTCTGTAGACTCTGTGGAACGAGATATTAATTATGAACAGTTTTTAGACATTTGAAAATTAAGAACAAAAGAAAATTTAGAAGTGAAAACCCCCCAACCCCTTTTAGAAAATGTAACAAAGTCTTAGGTGCAGCGTTTTAAAAACCTTTGTCCTTATTATTAGTTGAGTACCCCCGATATACATCAATATGTGGCTAGGAATCTTATTGTTCCAGTCACTGTTTTGAAATCATGTATAATATTATATTATTATTCATTTTTTACAACAATTATGAAACAAATTATTTTAACTTATATCAATTACTCTTGTTGGTCCAGATGTTAAGCGTGGGGGGTCTTAATGAAGGAGGAAACTGGAGTACCCAGAGAAAACCCACATGGACGGCAGGTAAACAAATACCTTTTCACATCTGGTTGGGCAATTGAACCCTGGCTGCCTTGATGAAAACAAGTGCGACCACTCACTATTACTTACTACTTTCAGTGTAGCAAATATTGATCTTTTCCACTCCACCATGGTTATTGGGCAAGATTAGGGAATGGAATGTCTAGGAGCCACCCTTCCATAAATCTGCTTAACACAATCAAAGACCAAAAAGTTGTGGCGCAATTTTGTACCTCCAGTTTCACCTGTAGGGGCTAATTACTTTATTTAAGACAAGGTAAAACTACTAAAATGTAAACTTGCTAACCTACATTGGTTCATGTTTAGTTGAATGACGTTATTCAAGCATAAATTTGGTGTATTTCCTTGTATTATACAGAGGAGATCTAGTTTAAGGAGGGAAGTAAAAAAGGTACTGCATGGGCTTATTCACATATGTGTTCGTTAATAGGTAAATAAATGTAAAATCCTTTATTTAAATATTACCTGTATGATGACTAGATAATTGGCCCCTTCAGAAAATCGCAGAAACAAAACTACTAGGATCCTGTTTGTGAACATTGCAATCATGCAAGTCCAAGCAAAAATGTACATGTCTGGTCTACAATGACCCAGTCCAACGAAACACTTGAGGTTGAACAGGAATCTACAAAATATTATGTGTATACGTTGATTTTAAAACGTCACAGGTTATAAGTAACATTTATAGCATATGAAAGATTTAGCATTTGTCTTTCATTATTTCATTTATCATATTTACTTTGAAAGTAGAGCAGCAGCCACTATATTATTCAGTTTAACACAACTTTATAATTGCTGGACAATTGTTGAAGAAATAATCCAAGATGGCTGCCTGGCAAACAGAGCTGAAAGCCATTCACTACAGCAAACTACAAGCCAAACATTACGACACTAGGCCTAATGGTTCTATGGTTCTATAGAAGTGCCTTTAAGTTTATTACAGACAGTAAATATGAACTAACATAACCCTATATTTATCAATACTCACACATTTCCAAAATCTGATATACCATCTGTCATGCCAAAGCCAGGTATGATATCTGTCCAAAACAGAGCCAACAAGCTCACACAACAGAAAAGGAAGCTCCAAAACATAAGGTAAAATGGGTGGACTTGGTCAAGTTCTCCTGTTCGAGTTTTCATCTGGGTTTTAGTTGACCGCTCTATCACAACGTTTACAACACCTTGGGGTATCTGAAGAATATAAAAATCAAATTTCGTTTTTGAAGTTCATCATATTTTATGAAATAAAGTGGTAGTAAATAAAATCCTGCATGTATGTTCTGATCATAAAATTTCAGGAATAAGGTAAAACTTCTTTGAAATTTTTAATTCTTTTAATTCTGACTCTCATTCTAAGGCAATGGGTCTGGAAAAGGGTTGACATATATACTGTCTTGTTGCCATGGAATTTTAACGTGATTATCATGTTTCTTAGACAGTCCTGAAGCAGCAGTCCACATGATAATGTCTCATACTTGATTTAAAACTTTGATATCCATTGCTGACTGTCACCTAAGTTGAATATTCTAAAACAGATACACAGCACTTTGCTGTTGATGTTACATATTGCAGAATTTTCAGAAAAAAAATAGGCACATAATACAGAATAAGTTTTATCAATTTATTTTGTCAATAAAGAAGGCATATGGACAAGCTTTTACCACATTTGAGATGTAAACACCCTTTTCATTGGTTAATAACCATGGATTATTGGACGATAGACCATGTGCGTGCGTGTCTTATTTTGCAACAGACCAACGCTCTTCAAAAGCCTCCCCTGGTAGAAAGGTGAATTCACGACTGGTTTCATTTGGTGAATGAGGGTACTCACATTTAATTTTGCATATATTTGCTATCGAACTAACAAACAAATAGATTTAACCTCTTGATCTGCTAAAAACCTGTTAAGTCCATGATTTGGATGTTCCGCTGAACTCGCCTTGAAGGTGTCTTGAAATAGTGTTTGTTAATCTGTCAAATACTGATTTCATGTATTGACGAGTGATATCCATTGATTGATGGATTTGATTGATTAAAATAAACATCTGACATAAAGATGTCAGTGTTTATTATTTATTGTCCGTCAACCAAATAGTGACTAAAAATAAAAAATCCTTCCTAAATATATCCAGGTTAAATAGACACAATAGGACAATTTCCCATAAGGTAAGAAATTATGAAAACGTGCAGCTTGTTGTGAAATGAAGATGTACTGGCAACACGTGACAAAGGTTAGCAAGCGCGAAAGAACAACCTAATTTCAATAGTCAGATTATCTAGGTCACCTTGCTTATTAAAGGCATATGGACACTGAGGTTGACATATGACAGATTTTCGTTTCATTTTACTTGGTACTTGGTAGAATAGATATAATCAACATATGTTTATGTATTATGGTGGAAAAAATAAACAACTCGGGCCTCAAGTGGACTTCGTTAGTTAATTTTCCAACATTTTCTCACCCTCTTTATATATTCCACCATTATACACAAAAACATGTTGATTATTTCTTAAATAAGTTGACAAAGCTATTATGCTTCCATGTCCAATTAATCAAAATTCACAAATTATGCATGTATGAACACTCCATCATAAGTGTGAACATATTGATTCACTATGAAAGATGTGAACAAACTGACACACTAAATGGTGTGTGAACATAACGAATGAAAACATTTAAATGTGACGTGTGAACATAACGAATGAAAACATTAAAACGTGACGTGTGAACATAATGAGGAGTCAAAACATTAAAACGTGATGTGTAAACATAACGAGGAGTCAAAACATTTAACGTGACGTGTGAACATAACGAGGAGTCAAAACATTAAAACATGATGTGTCAACATAACGAGGAGTCAAAACATTAAACGTGATGTGTAAACATAACGAGGAGTCAAAACATTAAACGTGATGTGTAAACATAATGAGGAGTCAAAACATTAAACGTGACGTGTAAACATAACGAGGAGTCAAAACATTAAAACGTGACGTGTGAACATAACGACGAGTCAAAACATTAAACGTGACGTGTGAACATAACGAGTCAAAACAGTAAAATGTGACGTGTGAACATAACGAGGAGTCAAAACATTAAACGTGACGTGTAAACATAACGAGGAGTCAAAACATTAAAACGTGACGTGTGAACATAACGAGGAGTCAAAACATTAAATGTGACGTGTAAACATAACGAGGAGTCAAAACATTAAAATGTGACGTGTGAACATAACGAGGAGTCAAAACATTAAATGTGACGTGTAAACATAACGAGGAGTCAAAACATTAAATGTGACGTGTAAACATAACGAGGAGTCAAAACATTAAAACGTGACGTGTAAACATAACGAGGAGTCAAAACATTAAAATGTGACGTGTGAACATAACGAGGAGTCAAAACATTAAATGTGACGTGTAAACATAACGAGGAGTCAAAACATTAAAACGTGACGTGTAAACATAACGAGGAGTCAAAACATTAAAATGTGACGTGTGAACATAACGAGGAGTCAAAACATTAAATGTGACGTGTAAACATAACGAGGAGTCAAAACATTAAAACGTGACGTGTAAACATAACGAGGAGTCAAAACATTAAAATGTGACGTGTGAACATAACGAGGAGTCAAAACATTAAATGTGACGTGTAAACATAACGAGGAGTCAAAACATTAAAACGTGACGTGTAAACATAACGAGGAGTCAAAACATTAAAATGTGACGTGTGAACATAACGAGGAGTCAAAACATTAAATGTGACGTGTAAACATAACGAGGAGTCAAAACATTAAAACGTGACGTGTAAACATAACGAGGAGTCAAAACATTAAAATGTGACGTGTGAACATAACGAGGAGTCAAAACATTAAATGTGACGTGTAAACATAACGAGGAGTCAAAACATTAAAATGTGACGTGTGAACATAACGAGGAGTCAAAACATTAAATGTGACGTGTAAACATAACGAGGAGTCAAAACATTAAATGTGACGTGTAAACATAACGAGGAGTCAAAACATTAAAACGTGACGTGTAAACATAACGAGGAGTCAAAACATTAAAATGTGACGTGTGAACATAACGAGGAGTCAAAACATTAAATGTGACGTGTAAACATAACGAGGAGTCAAAACATTAAAACGTGACGTGTAAACATAACGAGGAGTCAAAACATTAAAATGTGACGTGTGAACATAACGAGGAGTCAAAACATTAAATGTGACGTGTAAACATAACGAGGAGTCAAAACATTAAATGTGACGTGTAAACATAACGAGGAGTCAAAACATTAAATGTGACGTGTAAACATAACGAGGAGTCAAAACATTAAATGTGACGTGTAAACATAACGAGGAGTCAAAACATTAAATGTGACGTGTAAACATAACGAGGAGTCAAAACATTAAATGTGACGTGTAAACATAACGAGGAGTCAAAACATTAAAACGTGACGTGTAAACATAACGAGGAGTCAAAACATTAAAATGTGACGTGTGAACATAACGAGGAGTCAAAACATTAAATGTGACGTGTAAACATAACGAGGAGTCAAAACATTAAAATGTGACGTGTGAACATAACGAGGAGTCAAAACATTAAATGTGACGTGTAAACATAACGAGGAGTCAAAACATTAAAATGTGACGTGTGAACATAACGAGGAGTCAAAACATTAAATGTGACGTGTAAACATAACGAGGAGTCAAAACATTAAAATGTGACGTGTGAACATAACGAGGAGTCAAAACATTAAATGTGACGTGTAAACATAACGAGGAGTCAAAACATTAAAATGTGACGTGTGAACATAACGAGGAGTCAAAACATTAAATGTGACGTGTAAACATAACGAGGAGTCAAAACATTAAAATGTGACGTGTGAACATAACGAGGAGTCAAAACATTAAATGTGACGTGTAAACATAACGAGGAGTCAAAACATTAAAATGTGACGTGTGAACATAACGAGGAGTCAAAACATTAAATGTGACGTGTAAACATAACGAGGAGTCAAAACATTAAAATGTGACGTGTGAACATAACGAGGAGTCAAAACATTAAATGTGACGTGTAAACATAACGAGGAGTCAAAACATTAAAATGTGACGTGTGAACATAACGAGGAGTCAAAACATTAAATGTGACGTGTAAACATAACGAGGAGTCAAAACATTAAAACGTGACGTGTAAACATAACGAGGAGTCAAAACATTAAAATGTGACGTGTGAACATAACGAGGAGTCAAAACATTAAATGTGACGTGTAAACATAACGAGGAGTCAAAACATTAAAACGTGACGTGTAAACATAACGAGGAGTCAAAACATTAAAATGTGACGTGTGAACATAACGAGGAGTCAAAACATTAAATGTGACGTGTAAACATAACGAGGAGTCAAAACATTAAAACGTGACGTGTAAACATAACGAGGAGTCAAAACATTAAAATGTGACGTGTGAACATAACGAGGAGTCAAAACATTAAATGTGACGTGTAAACATAACGAGGAGTCAAAACATTAAAACGTGACGTGTAAACATAACGAGGAGTCAAAACATTAAAATGTGACGTGTGAACATAACGAGGAGTCAAAACATTAAATGTGACGTGTAAACATAACGAGGAGTCAAAACATTAAAACGTGACGTGTAAACATAACGAGGAGTCAAAACATTAAAATGTGACGTGTGAACATAACGAGGAGTCAAAACATTAAATGTGACGTGTAAACATAACGAGGAGTCAAAACATTAAACGTGACGTGTAAACATAACGAGGAGTCAAAACATTAAAACGTGACGTGTAAACATAACGAGGAGTCAAAACATTAAAATGTGACGTGTGAACATAACGAGGAGTCAAAACATTAAAACGTGACGTGTAAACATAACGAGGAGTCAAAACATTAAAACGTGACGTGTTAACATGACGAGGAGTCAAAACATTAAAATGTGACGTGTGAACATAGCGAGGAGTCAAAACATTAAAACGTGACGTGTAAACATAACGAGGAGTCAAAACATTAAAACGTTACGTGTAAACATAATGAGGAGTCAAAACATTAAAATGTGACGTGTAAACATAACGAGGAGTCAAAACATTAAAACGTGACGTGTAAACATAACGAGGAGTCAAAACATTAAAACGTTACGTGTAAACATAATGAGGAGTCAAAACATTAAAATGTGACGTGTAAACATAATGAGGAGTCAAAACATTAAAACGTGACGTGTAAACATAACGAGGAGTCAAAACATTAAAACGTGACGTGTAAACATAACGACGAGTCAAAACATTAAACGTGATGTGTAAACATAACGAGGTGTCAAAACAGTAAAATGTGACGTGTGAACATAACGAGGAGTCAAAACATTAAAACGTGACGTGTAAACATAACGAGGAGTCAAAACATTAAAACGTGACGTGTTGACCTGACGAGGAGTCAAAACATTAAAATGTGACGTGTGAACATAGCTAGGAGTCAAAACATTAAAATGTGACGTGGAAACATGACGTGTGAACATAATGAGGAGTCAAAACATTAAACGTGATGTGTAAACATAACGAGGAGTCAGAACATTAAACGTGACGTGTAAACATAATGAGGAGTCTAAACATTAAAACGTGAAAAACGTGACGTGTGAACATAGCGAGGAGTAAAAACATTAAAACGTGATGTGTGAACATAGCGAGGGGTCAAAACATTAAAATGTGACGTGTAAACATAACGAGGAGTCAAAACATTAAAATGTGACGTGGAAACATAATGCGGAGTCAAAACATTAAAACGTGACGTGTTAACCTGACGAGGAGTCAAAACATTAAAATGTGACGTGTGAACATAGCGAGGGGTCAAAACATTAAAATGTTACGTGTAAACATAATGAGGAGTAAAAACATTAAAACGTCAATCTTTACAGCATGAATATCTGTTTGTTTTACAAGATTGACTAGTACTCTGAACATTAAATGTGACGTGTTAACATAACGAGGAGTCAAAACATTAAAACGTCAATCTTTACAGCATGAATATCTGTTTGTTTTACAAGATTGACTAGTACTCTGATTTAAGCACTATAAATCCCATTCAACTAAACTGAAAATGTATGATGGATTAAAGTTTTGAATAGTTTTATTATATCAAAGGTAACTTACAAATGTCAGGGCGAAACACAGAGGCCACAATACTCCGGCCACACCCTTCGCACCTCCTTCCTCATCCTTAGATTCTGTACTCTGAAGGGACGGAAAAATGGAGGGAATCAAGGCTATAAACTCCGCGACAAGAACAGTCAATGCAGCAATGGTCTTTCGTCGTGTAGGATATTTCCTCAACAGAATAAATCTAAAAGATCAAAGAAATTAAGAAATTATAATTACCATTGATAACAAATTATTTTTGCAAAAGAACTGTCACGATAGCGATAGGGACAATTAACAATGTTTACATGATTATGCTGTAAAAAGTATGTTATCAGTGAGCTAGTGTATGAGCTGCCGTACCTTTGAGTTGTCATATGTCTGATAAATGCTTGGCGGAACTAAGCCAATGAAGCCTGATGTAAAGTTTATTGATGAGGTGTTTTCACTGCCAGATGTAAATTGGTAAAGTTTACTGATGAGGTGTTTTCAATGCCAGATGTAAATTGGTAAAGTTTATTGATGAGGTGTTTTCACTGCCCGATGTAAATTGGTAAAGTTTACTGATGAGGGGTTTTCACTGCCAGATGTAAATTGGTAAAGTTGACTGATGAGGTGTTTTCACTGCCAGATGTAAATTGGTAAAGTTTATTGATGAGGTGTTTTCACTGCCAGATGCAAAACACTTATGTGGCAGGTGCATAATTATGAATGATGATAATAATGAGATCAAAAGTAAATCAAGCTTTAGATTTCTGTTCTTTGCATACACTAAATGGTATGGTATAATATTTATTTATATTTAAACAAATTAACTATACTCATTTGGTTAATCAAATAAGCGCTGTAACCTAGACATTAGAAAAGACTTTTTCAGCTTCCGCGTAGTAGATGCCTGGAACAACTTGCCACAAGATGTTATAGACGCAGAGGATGTCAAACATTTTGAAATTTTACTGGACAATCACTGGGAAAATACCAACAAATAATTAACTTAATTTTAAATAGATGTTAAAGGACATGTACACCAGAAGTATATCATACTGTAAATATTGTAATATCAACTGATATGGACACAGAGCCTTACAGCCTGCGTCCATTATTTATCGTATTAAATCGTATTAAATATAATCAACTTTAATCAAGCACTTTATTTGGCCACCATGGAAGTCTGTAATTTTCAGGGATGGGGAATCTAACATGGACCATCTTCGGTTGTGAGTGGAAAATCGATCCAATGTGCCTCTTTAAAAATTGAACAAAACTGGCGATAGTTCATGAAATTACATAGGGAATGAATTCGAATTTTGCTCATTTCTTCCACACAAGTACATGTATAATGTAAATATTCCCTTGAACATCAGTGACCCAAATGATATCAATTGAGGAAACAATCTCTTACCTAATAATAAATGTGATTGGAATAGCAAAGTTGATTGCTAATGCCTGTAAGTACGGTGCTGTTCTTGTACCACTGGAAGCGTACACCGAAAAAATAGACGATAGTGAATCAGCGAATCCTATCCAGAAAAACTGCAGCTTAGGAAATGATTGATTAGCATCAGTTAATTGATTGGAACATAATTTCAGACACAATACGATGACACCACTGACAGTACAGAAGACTATGTTCACTTGTAAAATAATGCTGAATCCATCTACGTGGCGGAAGCTGGGTGTACTACTGTTGTTTGATGTGGCATTTGTTTCTTTTTTCGTTGGTCCAATCGAGTCGAGCCAGAGAGGTGTACAGATGGTAGATGTCGACAATGTAAGAACGATTCCACACGTCAAAAAGCACACAAGAAATCGGCCAATCAATGCAGCCGTAGTTGACATCTTTAAACGTTGTCAGTATGTTTGGCACATTATTTTATCGCACTTTATTTTTTTTACACTTGCAATGAATTTTCGAACGTCTGCCATTTTGTACTAGTCACATGATTCAAGTACGACACCCACGTGATATTTTTGTTTTATTTTAAGGATCAGTGTGCGTAGAGTTTTGACATAGTGACGACACAGTTTAACTGAACTGTAATTAAGATAATTGGTTAAATGTGTTAATAAATATAGCTCTAAATAGTTAATTACAAGAATTCCACGGAAGTGGATGTGTCGCCTGAGCAGGACTTGCTTAGCACTGCATGAAGTTTGAGTTTGATCGGCCCAAGGAAACTCTAAGTCATTGCACGGAAACAGATTTTCTATTTATAGTAACAGTGACCTTGACCTTTGACCTTCGGACCTGAAAAGCAATCCCAAGCAAGCACTTTTGGTAAGGAAGCTCTGCATGAAGTTCTGAGTTTGATCGGCTCAAGGAAACTCAAGTTATCGCACGAAAACATATTTTCTTTTTATAGTAACAGTGACCTTGACCTTTGACGTTCGGACCTGAAAAGCAATCCCAAGCAAGCACTTTTGGTAAGGAAGCACTGCATGAAGTTTGAGTTTGATCGGCCCAAGGAAACTCAAGTTATCGCATGAAAACAGATTTTCTATTTATAGTAACAGTGACCTTGACCTTTGACCTTCGGACCTGAAAAGCAATCCCAAGCAAGCACTTTTGGTAAGGAAGCACTGCATGAAGTTTGAGTTTGATCAGTCAAAGGAAACTCAAGCTATCGCACAAAAAACCTCTGTGCGGACGCCGCCGCCGACGCCGCCGCCGACATAGCAATACCTATGTGTCCCCAGCTTTTCGCAGGCGAAACAAAAAGTAGGAATTAAGTAACAAGAATACAAGCACAGGGACCTGAGAATTTGTTCCAGCTTTATTTGGATTATGCAATAAACAATTAATACTGTCCCTGCATAAACTAAGGTGTTCAGAGTAATTTTACATGTTTGTAAATATAATCATATGGGTGTCGTTTTTACCGAAAGTCAATCTAAACACATAAACATGTAAAATTACTCTGAACACCTTAGATAAGGTCCAAATATAGTTGTAACAAATTCTTAGGTCCCTGTGGGTACAAGTGGGGCCTTCAGATTACCTGTTACTAGTAAAAGTCTCAAGGAAGTCCCCATCTATTTGTTTCCAAACCATAGGTTACAAATGGATGATTTCTTTATGTTTGTATTTACATGCCTATAGGATACTATCAATCATACTACCCATTAACAGTATGCAAATTCACAGGAAAAATAATTAACATGTAAATACTAAACAAGAGGTCTGAGGGGCTTGTATTGCTCACCCCAGGCTATCTAAGTTTTGAACAAATTGCTGCAATTATTACATCTAAGGATTTAAGTCTGTATTTATTAATAGTACATGGCAGTCATTTTGAAATTGTCATTTATTTGAACAACCTTGATGGCTCTTGATCCCTTCAACCAACTGCATGCAATCTTTCAAAAATAACAGACACAGAAAGTGAAGTTCATAGCTTTTTTATAAGAATTGTTTTGAGTAAATAATATCTAGGTGTTTATGATAAAAGCTATCACCATGCAGCTGTCTATACATACTATATACATAACTGAATGACTAGATTATGATACACAAATGTATACGACTAAACAGGAATACTATATATGGGCATGGACTTGTACATCTACGTGTAAATGATAGGATACTTCTCTCAAATATATAACTTGATACCAACAAGAGTACCGCAATTAATTTTGGGTGTTGCCCAAAATTTTAAACTCAGAAAAATACAAATTTTTGCACTTATCTAGAACTAATAAATTAGAATTGTCATGACGATTGTTCATGCATACTACTTTCTGGCACAAAAAAATATATAGAACCTCATTATTTCTGAGATTGTGACAGTTACAATTTCCCCGCCGAGCGGAGCGAGGTGAATTTTCTTCTTCTGAAGATGCTATACTAAACCATTTCAAAGACTGCTGAGCGTAGAAAGCAAGAATTTATCGGATATTATTTCCATTGTCCAACAGTTCGAATGATCGAGGCATAGAATAGGTTTCTGAGTTTGCAGTATTTCCAGGTTATATTTTATAACATAGAGTATTTAAATTTATATTTTGTGATGGCCGAGCGGAGCTAGTGTTAACAAATTCTCTAAAACAATGGTAAAAATGTAGGTTTTTGGTTAAAATATTGATGTTTGTGTCATGCCCTAGCTTCATGTGCATGTAGTTTAGGCGAGCATTTTGGCAATTAAATATTAATTTATTTAGTCAAAAATATGAATTATGATTTAACTGTTTGTCTTTTACTGTGAATTTGTACGCATACGCATGTACAAGGGCAATACCTAATGAAAAGGATATACATGCTAGGCTTTTATGCTAACATTGGTTATTATTCACCTGATAAAGTGATGCTAAGGAGAGTGCTTTATTGTCTTTGAAATTTATATTTTTTAATTGGTATAATAAATCACTCCTGGTGATCATGCGTACATGAAACCACATGGATGGATGGATGACGGGTTTCGCGCCTACATGAATCCGCCCTTACGGGTTTCATCTCACTGACGGAAGTCAGTGTTCAGTCGGCGTGAGGGAAGTTGCCTTCCCGCGGGGGG